CCCCAGACAGTGCGGGGAGTTGTCGGGACGGGCAACTTTCAAGGCCCAGTCGCGAAGGTACAGCAGGGTTCGAAGAGCCAAGATTTGTTTGCGGAGAGTGGGTGGGAATGTTGCTTCCACCTTCGCATCTACTTGCTTACATGTCCAGTGTAATTGATTCGTGTATCGTGCACGGTTTTTCTCGGTACTTCGTAGTCGTAGTCTAGTCTTTTTGTTTCTCTTGGCATCCAGACTACCCAAATACTCAAGATGCAGAGTTGCATCATAATAGTGGCGCTCGCGATGGTCATCGATGCTTCTGTGGCCGCTGACGATCATGGGACCTGCTGAAGATGATGGGCATGCGGACCGGTTTTCAGATGATGGTGGTGATGATGGTGAGGAGGAGGAGGAGGAGCCATAGGGACTGTCAGGACGGAACAGAATTATGTTGAGAACATGATGCTTCGATGATGAAGCAGGACATGACAATGCTGTTCATGATTAGTCGATGAAACTGAGTCTGCCGATTGTGCAGACGGTAATGACGATGATGCTGGTCCTGTTCCTGCCTAGTAAAGACTGAACGAAGAACTTGAGCTTCGGGCCGCGCAGATGAAGATTGCCGGAGGATCAAAGGATGCAGTCGGGAATGTCAGACCAGGGGGCCGCCGATGACATGTTTTACAATGGTTTTACATATAGTTAGTCATCATCAACAGAGTCAAATTCAATATCTACTATCGCTGTCGGTCTAACACTCTGCGAGGCCACTACCTTGTCCCATCCGTTTATTTGCCGCACCCACTGTACAAAAGCTGGAAGATCAAGCCGGGAAAAGACCCTAAAGAAAGTACAGTTGCAGGAAGCGTAAGCGGCGACACAAGAGCATAGCAGCAGGTCACTAAGGAAGCACTTCAACACAGCAAGCTAGCGGAATAGGAGCATGTGTCATTTAATAGCACTGTGGGTCAATAGATACGACGGAAACTTTCCACTCCAGGCAATGTGATGTGCAATATCCGTGCGGTGTCAATACCAGTAGGCAGCTCAAAATGGCACAAATTGAGAGCGCAACGACACATGGGCAGACCAACTACAGCTGTCAAGCAATCTTGAATCAAGGACTACACGGCAAACAGACCATGCTTCTTGCTGGCTTCAAGACCTGTGCCCTGAGGCAAACCGTGCTTCCAGAAAATATCTCCGACTTGAAGGACGATTCTTGAGCTTCTTTTCTATCGGGTAACTCTTTTTCCCCACGCCCTAAGTTCTCGAATTTCTCAGTGCTTGGTGTTATGTGCCTCTTTCACTTTGTCTTCAGGGAGACTTACAGAATGGGCATCGTCGGTGGTTCCCAGCAAAGGGTTTCATCAGAGAGGGAGTCTTCAGCAGCGCGGGGCAGTTGCACCTCTGCCCCTCCTCCTCCTCGTCCTCCGCCTCCAACTCCTCTTCTGCCACTGCAACTACCAGTACTAGTACGACGAGGACGACGACGACGACGACGACGACGACGACTACTACTACTACTACTACTACTGCTACTGCTACTGCTACTACTGCTACTGCTACTACTTCTTCTTCGTCTACTTCTACTACTCCTGATGCCATGCTATTGCTACTGTGACTGCTCCTGCTGCTGCTGGTGCTACTGCTACTGCTACCACCTACCACCTACCACCACCACCACTACTAGCCCCCTGCAAGCACTTCACCATGAAAGATTAGCGTGGGGGACGCCTAAAAAGAAAAGCCTGGAGTTGAGCCCACTAAATTTTGTGGGGGGACCCCGTAAAGAAACGGTTCTTCCCGACCCATTTTCAGGGAAGCGGGGCTTCCCAAACAACACGAAGGCTTCAAGGGCCCAAGTGCAACGCGGCAAGGCCGGGCCATCAACAGGGCCTTCGGACCCCAACTAGACAAGATCTGGGGGTACCCGCTAATGCTAAGTTTGTCCAGCTGTCTGAATCGGTCTGAATCCAGTTTATGCGGGGAGGAGCCCAGCAAGGCCTTTGGATTCCAATTTATAAAGAAAGATTTGGGCATACCCATTAATGCTGAGTTTCCCGGACCGGCCGGGCGATTTCTGCATTAGGCCCGGCAGCGTAGCTTCCTCCGCCGGCCTATGGAGTCACGTTTTTGTTTGGGGAGGACACAGCCCCCTACACTAAGAGCGACCCGAAGCCCCGAACAACCTGGATCAACCCGGCTTCCAGGAAGCTTGCCAAGACGTCAACGCTCAGAAGCGTGTTTCTCTCTGCCACCTCGACTGCAGTAGGGTTCCGGGCTTAGGGAAAGCAGGTATTCGAGGCGCTAGACTCTAGCAGATGGGGTCTGAGGGTTTGTGCAGCTGTTAAACCGTTTGGGTTTGGTGTGTAGGCGTGTCAGGTGTTTTGTTTGTCCGGTGTAAGCTGAATGGAAGCAGAGCGGTACTTGCAATCCGCCCTGGCGTGTGAAAGTTTCTGTCAACTTGCTTCCAATGCCAGCACCTGTTCCACAGCATCCATGATTCAGGGCTTGCGGACATTCTAGAATCGCACGTCTTGAAGGCAGCAGGCCGTCTTGTCGAACTCTCTGGGGTTTTCTTGCCTCCGAAGACAAAGCCGGGCCTAGCCCTTCGTGATCAAGAGTGGTAAACTCCGAAAAACTCAACCGAGTTGGGAATGATGTGTTTCAAGCCGTGTAATTGCAGTTCGTCTTTTTTGGGGGTTTGCTAAAAAAGTGGCTTGGATGACACCCTGATACAAACCAACCTCTAGAACAACTGTCTTTGCTTTCAATGTAATGCTGGGATCCTACGTGTAGCTGTACGTATCGATACTTCACCATCGCATTCCTGCGGCTGTGCCCTGTCCTTTCCAAACCTTTCACCCCAAATCTACACCCCAAACCTAAAGTTTTCTTGTGGCCGAACTCAGGCACATCTCCATTCTGGCGAGGTTCTACAGGTACCGCGGCAAAACCCTAGACCGTCTAACCATTGTGGTTTACCGTATGTACGTATGTATGTGCGTACATACATACATGCATACATGCATATATATATATATATGTGGTTATGACGCATGTGTATGGAGTTGTCGATCCTTGCACCTGTGCCGCATCCTGAGAACATGATTAGAAGCTGTTGTGTGAAGCCCTAAACCTATACGTAATACCCAAAGCTTGTAAATTCGGAACCGCATCTCCTTAGGTTGGCACAGGCTTGCGAAGTTGAGAATCCAGGGTTATATAGTAGCTAGGATAATTCCTCCTGCTGCACTTGTATTCGGTGTTGGGCTTACCGTGTAGAAGCTAGAAGGCTGTTTGGCTTCGAAGTTCAGTCGGTTCACTGTCAGCAGACCTACTTGCATCACTGCTTATGGGTCGTTTCTGTTGCGCTGTATCGGTGCCACAAGTTGCTGATGTCGTCAAGTTGGTTGCTTCTTACCACTCGTCATTCAAGGCATGGCTATGTTTGACGGCCTGGCGATGGCTGAAGCCATGTTGTTCATACGTCACTTCACCGACCGTGCCCCGAGGACTGAACAGTTGCTTCCCGTACGGCCACTGACAAATGAAGTAGCTGTGACGATGGATGCACCCTGCGCTTACAATATGTACAAACTCGTGGAAGAGTCCGAGGCCTACTGTCATTGATATCATGTGTGTTACTGCTGTCCGTACGATCATACCTCCTGCTGTCACCGGACAACGCTTTGATAAAATTACACAACTTGTCGCCACGCTAGCAGACTAGCAAATGCTAATGCTACTAGTGCTACTACCACGTCTCCCACCGCTACTCTGTTTTTTTGCCTGCTTGAACATTGTTACGACGACGGCTACTCGTACGAATACTGCCACCACTACTTCCAGCACTGTAAGCGTTGCCATTACGAAAAGAAACGACTTGTAATGACAAAGTAGGACTACTGCGGCTGCCGCTGCTGCTTCTACCTCTACGCTGCCACTGGCACTTCTACTACTGCTGCCGCTACTAGTACAACAACAACGACGGGCACTACGGGTACTACTACTACTACTACTACTACTACTACTACTACTACTGCTACTGCTACTGCTACTGCTACTGCTACTGCTACTGCTACTGCTACTTCTTCTTCTACTACTACTACTACTGCTACTTCTACTACTACTACCACTACTACTACTGCTAGGTTCAGGCGTTGGACCAACGGCATTCAACTGCAATCGCTTCGTGCCGATTGCCGGCACAGTTGGGCGACACGACAATGCAACATGAAGCCTGAGCAACTTGGTGCGGCCGACTTTGAAGGCTTGAACTTGAGACTTTGCTGCTTCCGGTGCATGGATTGCGCCAACTGTCTCGGGGTATTGCGAACCTGACCCGCAGCGAAGCCTGCGTTGGTGGGGTAGTCTAGCAAAACACTGCCACCGCATGGACAGGTGTCTCGGGTGTCATCTCTGCAACCAGCAGTTACCAGTGACCTGTCGACCGTAGCAATGAGGGCCTCTTTCGATGAAGGCTTGAATGAGGACTAGTATTGTTCCTGAACGTTCGCCGGACAATAGTTCCTGTCCTCGCAGCGGATCTTGGAACATTCGGCGACCGAGCGGGTGAGTGAGTACAACTGACTACTACTGCCATCACAAGTACTACGAGTGCTACGACTAGTACCACCACCACTACGACGACGACTACTGCTACCACCAGGACGGGTGTACTGTTCTTCTAGGTAGCCTCAAAATTCGTACTGTCGGGCTGAATTGCTTCATCATTTGAGCTTCACTTCCTGCTGCAAGCAGCCCTGGGGTCTTGAACTGGCTGTGCCAGCATGCAGCATGGCCGCATTTGCTCATTAACAGCGGGCTATACTGGTATCATCTGGTACCTGCCGATGTAGATCAAAATTGAGACTTAGTATGCCCTCTTCCTCAAGACTAAGCGTCCGTGGGACTGGCTTCGCCAGGTCCAAGCAGGACATTATTGTGTGCTGGATGAACGCTGTCTTCACAGCGCCAACTCTCACTGGATCTGAGTTGACACAAGAATCCACCTAGTGCTCCAGAAGCGACCTGGCATGCATCTCCACGAGGCAAAACAAATTCCGTGCAGTCTTATATCTAGGGCAGTGGCCTTCCAATTTCGCTGGCAGCCGCCGCTCCCCCTTGACGATGTCCTGCATCGACAACAGCTGCATCTCAGGTTCCAGAGCCGGCGATGGGCCTGGAAGATCGGTAGGAGCAGCTGGCTGGTCGGGTCTGCACAGGCATCGGCGCAAGTTGTTATGTTTCGCTCGTCGAAGGGCGAGGAAGAAGCCTGGTCTTCTTCTTCGCGGCTGCTTTTGACTTTCGGGGGGCTGGAGCCTCGGGCAGTTCAACATGTCTCAGAGAACGTCACGACTTGACCAGTCGTGAGAGTCTAAGACAATCTCCTCTGCTTCTGGCTCTCCCTCCAACGGCTTTGGCTTCTTCGCTGCCTCAACAATGCCGCTAGTGCCAAAACATCGCGAGAGCAAAGCTGCGAGCCTTGAGGTCCAGTTTGCTTTCAAATTGCAGCTCCAGATCCTTACAACTTTGCCACAGGCTCCTCTGTCAGTTTGCAGGCAGTGCAGCGAGAATGCTGGCCTCCAGTCGGCTGAGTACTTGCGCTTGCGTGGCTTGGAGAGACTCGCAAAGTCTCTCGATACCTCCATTCCAGGATGCCACATCGCACAGGCCAAAGGTGCTGACAACCTTTAAGCTCTGGCCAACAGAAACTTAAGTTAAGTGTCTGGCGGGCCAGGCTTGAGGCATCACGTGGCCCTGCAGCCTGCGCCAAAGTAGCGGCTGCATGCCGGAGCGGACAGTGCTGGGCTGGACTGTGTTCGGACCTGGGCATCATCTGCCGCAGTAGAAGGTGCAGCGCCCAGTCCTGGCGTGGCCGGCGCACGAGTAGAATCGGCCAATAAACTCAGACAGGGTTCCGCTTCCTGTAGACGGAGCGAGGTTTCGCTCTTGAGAAGCGGCAGATCCTAGACAACAAGACAAAAAGAAGCATGACCGTGTCGATGCTTGCAATCAATCAGAGACAACATCGTGTCCTCCTATGCTCTCGCGAATGCTGGTTGCCTGTCTCGCGGCATCGCGCATGACCTCGTGGGATCACGCTGGTCCAGTGAGCTTCATCGAGGCAGAAATTGGGTCCCGACAGTTTGCAGCACTTGCCGTTGAAGAGACTCGCGCTCCTGTGGGAAATACCTCCCAGGCACTCGACTCGGACAGGCCAAGGGGAACTCGACGAGGCCGCCGCTTCCAGATCTGTTCGATGCTGGATCGCCTCAAGCAGGACCTGAGATTTAACTGGCGAGCCCGATGTCTCTTCCGTCATGCGAGCTCCCTACGCCACGACGTAGGTCTCTGCCTTGATCCAAGCTGTCCGCAGACTTCCCTGCCATGTCCGTCAGGGTGTTGAGAATTTGGTGCTCGTCCTTCCTTCCTGCTTGGGGGTGGAACCCCTCACGGGCCCTCATGTCCCGGTTCGCCTCCCCTCAGCCGGGGGGATATGGCTTGGCTAGCACTATCGGACCTTGCAGGTTTGCCTACAAACGATAACTGAACGTTGTCCGGCTTGGCCGCTTTGGCCTGAATGCTGCACCCGAGTGTACTCGGATGAGAATAGACAAGCTTCTCCGTATATCAACGTGGAGGTGATCGCGAACTGCTCATTCTGCGTTCTGGTTCGTGCTGTCTCTGCTTTAGCCACCTTGACAGGTATTCAGGAATGCGCGCCTTGATGAGGGCGACTTCACCAAAGTAGTCTCCTTCCCCCTTCCTGAGTTATCCAAGGCTCCACTTACTCAGCTCTCAGCAACAGGCGCGCATGTGTCCACTTCTGGCCTCATGGGTAGCTGAATCGCATCCTCGACATCCTTGGACCTGAGCATGACTGGGACACGACGACAAACGGACTGCAGTTTTGAAGCCCACCGATGTGCAATGAGTTCTTGGCTTTCCTTGTGCAACCAGAACAGAGACTTCTCCCTTGCTGATGAAGTACATCTCATCAGCGACCTTGAAGACGGAAGCATTGTGTTCAATTGAGGCGTGGTCTTCCGCGGAACCTCGCCGACGCGAACCACATAATCACCAGGAAGGAAGGCCTTGTCTTCAAGAACCCGGACGACCTCGTGGTGCACACGCGAATGGTGTAGTTAGTGCTGCAAGTACAATGCTCGGCCACAAGCTGCCAAGATGTAGCTGTGCTCCTTCAACATCCAAGTGAGCTGTAGAGTCCATTGTAGAGCTGTAAAGCACAGCTGGCAATGCAAGGATCCTTGTTTTTGAAGAAGCCTGCACGTAAGACTGACTGGTACCTGCCACCGCCCGGCCACACAGGGACTCACCGAAGTGCATCACGAAGGACGAAGGCTATGAACTCGGAGCTGCATGAGGATCGCACAAGTAGACTCGAATGGCATCCTCCGCAGGTCGAGGAATGCAGGATTTCATTCCGTTTCCCGCTCTGAGTGCAGCTCCTGCCTCCAGGGGTGATGACAGTGTGTGGTTCTTGAAGAGCTGCTCGAAAGCCTAGGGCTTAGGGTTTTGGCAGCGCAACTTTAAAAATCCAAGAAAGCGCCTGTAACATGCTGAGTTAGTGCGGCAATCAGGTTTATGCATCGTAGTCACGACCCATCGTCTGAAAGTGGTGCTGCCACTTTTCATGTACACCCACGTAAGAAGTGGCAGCACCAAGCTCTATGCACAATAAAAATTAGCAGCACTCTGAAATCTTATGAATTGCACTGTTACAAGCTGAGCTCATGTTGCAAACAGGTTTGCACCTCGTAAGCACGACTCATCTTATAAACGTGGTGCTACTTTTACGTGCACGCACGAAACAAGGTAGTGCACCAACCAAAACGCAGCACAATTAAACTTGAGAAGCGGGCTACGAAAGCTAGAGTTGAGACATTCAGAGTGTTGGCAAGCTCCGATTTCCATGAATAATTATCTGTATGATTCTGTATGATTTCGATACGGTTTTGATATGATTTCAGGAATCCTTCGGGTTACGATTTTCTTGTGATTTTCTTATGGTTTACGGTTTGGATACGGTTTGGATACGGTTTGGATACGGTTCGAATACGGGTTCGGATACGTTTTGCTAC